CCAGTCTCACTAAAGAAGGTATTGAACGCATCCTGGCAAGAGATCTTCAACCGGCATGCCCTACGCCTTCGCCTATTCCTGGCTTTGTCGGGTCTGCAGAGGGCCTGGGACGGACTGAGGATGTCGTAGCACCGAAAAACTGATGGTTCTGTCAATAAACTCGAATGACCAGCCGCAATATATAAAACCGGGGCGCCTTTCATCCTAGGCAGGCAACCCCCGCGCTCAGCTGCATTAAACTTCCGAAAAACTGCAACACTCTAGACTCTCGACTAATGCCTGAGTATGTGTTCCACTCGAGACTACAACTATGGCTCTTACGTTGCTTCGTGCACTTTACTGTCTCAAGTAGGTCCAAACAAGGCTGAGATGCGTCACCACCGCCGATCCTGAGCTACGAGATGTGTCAAGTTCTGGAGCTATAAAGCATGTTCAGCATGTCAGATGTTCAAAAAACCGCAGGTGGCATTCCAGATACTTTGGAACCTGCACCGGTATCAAAATGAACCTGATGACTTTGACGTACATGACGAGCATGACTGGAAGATGCGGTTCCTGCTCTTTCATTGACGAGGACGGTCACCGCCCCGACCGCTACCACTACAGCTACCACTACCACTACCACTCCTCCTCGTCCTCCTGCTCCTCCTGGTGCAGCTGCTGCTGCTGCTGCGACGATGATGACGACGACGACGACGACGCAGACGACGATGACGACGACGCCCATTAGAGCTCCTCTTGCTGCTCCTCCTGCTGCTACTTCTGCTGCTGGTGCTGCTCTGCCTCCCGCTTCTACCAGCCCTAGAAACGTACACCAGCTCGTGCTTGCCCAAGGCTCGTCTTGTCTGAGGGCATCTGTCCATCGGGCTGGATGCCGTGCTCGAGGCAGAAGAGCTCCCAGCAAGCATTGCCGATCTGGACGCCACCCTTCGAGGTTTGCGGTTACAGGCCCATCTACGTACTGTTCCAACTAAGCTGAGGCAATCGAAACATCATAAACTGATCTTGCGGTGCAAAACCTGTTTGCAGTTTCACCGGTGCCTGTCCGATGTGGATGCAGATTGCCTCACGCATGGCTGCGAAGCGAAGATCTCAAAGGAGAGCGTCGGAAGTCACCTCGTGATGCAGTGGCCTCAGGCACCTAATCCTGCGAGAGCCAACGGCAGCGAAACAACGAAAGGCGAACTTCGAACTTGCGATTGCTATGCAAGTGTGGGTCAGTGTCACTAAGGCCGCTACTCACGTCACTGTTCCTGTCGTGATGGTTCTGCTCACAATAACTTTGCATAAACCATGCTAGCAATGACCGTGCATTCCCATAGGCAGAAATGCCAAACCCCGATAAGCCTAACCCCCCTAACCTTCCTCCTAATATACAACACCAAACCCCCTGTCTAAAGTCCCTTCCTTTCAGCAGGCGCCTGGTGAAGCTCGAAGCTGGAGCTTCTGGGCTGCCAGCGGTAAACCTCGGCGGCTTCAGACCGGGGCTCTCGGGGAGCTCTGAAAAAAGAAAAACTTTTTTAATCTAAGGTTTAGGGTTCCGGATGTAGGGTCAGAGCGTTTAGGGTTTAGGGCTTTAGGGTTTGGAGGGAATGTCACTGCAACTGTACATTTCTCTATGACTTTGGAGTAGGTTGCGTAATCCAGTGGCTTTTGGAGTCTCTACTTTAAACTACCAAAACCTACTTTTGTGCAGGGTCCCTACTTACTCTATGTTTAAAGTCTAACATAAGAACCTGCAAAAAAGGTAGGTTACGGTAGTTTAAGGTGGGCGCTTGGAACTTTGGGGCTTCTCGAGTTCTACGTTTCGTGCAGTGCTTCGAGACGGCTCAACAGGGGCTTTAAAGGGTTCTACGGGCTGGTGAATCTTATTGGGGTGACTAAGCACTTCACGGCAGCCTTTCAACGGGCTTGGTCGGGGTACTCAGGCCGTTGGGGGCTGCGGTGTTCCAACAAGGCTTCGGGAACCTGGGGTTCTACGGTTGAGGGCTTTGGTGCTACAGGGTTTAGGCTTTGGCGCTCCACGGTTCCATTTAGGGTTCGGGGCTCTATTTTTAGGGTTTAGAGCTCGAGCAAATATCAACGATAATTCCCGATAACATTGTTTTAGAAGAAGTAGTAGTTGATGTTGTTGTTGTTGCTGCTCTTGTTGTTGTTGTTGTTGTAGTAGGGCGAGAAGAACTAATGGGGAGTAGCAGCGGCAGCAGCGAAACAGCAGCGGTACGAGTACAGGTAGCTTGGTTCTGTTTCTTGCTATGACAAGGCTAGCCTCTGGAAACCCTGTCAGGACACTCAGAATCAGGCTTGCGGGCAGTTGTCGATTTTCGCTCGAAGCTCCGCAGATTCGGGTCATGCCGGGTCGGCGAAGCCCTCGCAAGCATCGCGTGCGGCAACAGGGATCGTTTCACCCGTCGCGACCACGCGACGCACCCATGCAGCGCAGGGGGTGCAGCCACAGTCCTGCATTGTTCACTGTCGAACTAAAAATGCGATATTCCTCGGGCTGCCCTCTCGCGCTTCACTGAAAAGGACGATCTCAGAACTCATCGCCGTAGCCTTCCTCTTCTCCCTCACCTGCAGGCAGTCGTGTGGCTGTGCGGTCCGTGTGGTTTGCTAGCCGCCCTGCTGACCCTTTTCTGCTCTACGCAACAGGCAGGACCCCTTGAAGGCTCTACAAGCAACTCTCGCTATCAAAGGGTAGCCTCACGTTGTCATAATGTCGTCTGAGATTTCGCGAGCACTGAGTGTTAAAGTCTACTCTGCACATGATGGGCATTTCAAGTTATTGGACCGACGTTTTGGTGCAGAAACCCTGGATTCTGAACGATGTCAAACTAGGAGTTGTAATATGAAACATTCGGCTTCTCTTTTTGAAAGATACAAACCGGCACAGACGAGAGAAATGACTCCCGCTAAACCCCTAAACCCTAAAGTCCACGCCCCACTAAATCTCTGATTCTTTTCGCGCCACGACTCGACTAGAACCCTTCAGCCCCCGAACTCGTAGACCGGGCTCTTAAACGGCAGGCGCTGAAGGCACTTTACAAAGCGTAGCTATTTCTGTTCCTCTTCGCGAAGATGCGACACCACTAAGGGGACTTCTTTTCAAGACTGGCCTAGAAGACACCATGAACCATGGATTCCAGAGCAATCAGCCCATAACGTGCCTTCGCATCCTCAGTCTCATCTCAACCCTGCCCTAAAAAGCAAACCCTTTGAAGCAGTGCCTTCCGCAGTTTCGATGCCAACCTCCTCATAGTCCTGGATTGCATCTCTTGCTGTTCAGTCGACATGAAAGTTCGATGGACCTTGTGGGAGTTGCTGCTTCAGCACGGGTTCGGCAGCCCTAAACCCTAAACCCCTACACCCCAAACCCCCAAAACTCCAAAAAACCCTAAACCCTAAACCGCCTAAACCCCTTAACCACCAAAAACCCTTAACAAAAAAGCCTAAACCCTCTAAACCGCGTCACTTTCCTGTTTCGGTTCCAGGTTCCAGGGGATGTTGGCCTCGGGCCCTTTTTAAGGGCTCCTCTTCGGGTTTAGGGTTGAGGGTTTAGGATTTTAAGGGTTTAAAGTTTAAAGTTTAGGGTTTGGGGTTGAGGGTTTAGGGTTTAGGGTTGAGGGTTGAGGGTTTGGGGTTTAGGGTTTTGAGGGCCCTTTGAGAGCTCTAAGGGCCTTCAGGTTAGAAGAACCTTGCCTCGAAGAGCATGTAGAAGAGGCTGCGGAGTTTAGGGTTTAGGTTTGGGTTTGGGGTTT